TAAACTTTTCTCTCTCTAGATCTATGTATCCCTCTTCCCTCTCTTCGTTTCCCTAGTGTGCTAGTACTTTTTTTTAATGATCAAAGCACAAAAAAATGCAGTAAACGTTACATCCATGGACAGATCTGGTAAAATATTGTGATTCTCTCTCTTCCCTTTTGCTTGCAAAATTCAAGAAAGTACATGTATTATGTCATTTTAGCCTTTAGTTCCTTAGCACATAAATAGAAAATTTATGTTTTGATATCTCTCAAGAGATCCAGAGATCATAAGCTGTTTTGTGCCAAAAATAAGCTGAAAACTCGTTGTTGACCTGCTGGTTATAAGGATAATCTGGGGTTGTCAAAAAGGTTTGATTTTAGGGTTGTCAGTCAAACATTGTAGATCTGTACATTTTCTTCTCATTTTCACATCTTGTGTTTGATCTTTCTAACAAATTTTGAACTGTTTGCAACAAATAACAAAAACAGCATTTGGACAATGAAATCAACAGAATCAAGAAAGAGAATGACAGGATGCAGACTGAACTCAGGTTAAATTACTCTTCTTCCTCGACATACACACATACATACTAGGTTGAACGCGACATGAAACAAGTAGAAACGCTATTTCTGAAAGAAGTAGAGCTTATTTTTGAGCTCAAACATTGTTTAGAGTTTCGATTTTCGAAATAGAAACGATTTTAAAAGTTTCCTTGCAACCTAGTATAATTATATATACACATACACCTCCACAACCTAGCGGTACATGTCTTCTTACATCTATCTTGTCAATTTCAGGCATCTAAGTGGGGAGGACATCACAACTTTGAACTACAAAGAACTTATGGTTTTAGAGGAAGCTCTTGAAAATGGGATTTCAAGTCTCAAAGCCAAACAGGCAAAGTCCCTTCATTTTTCCTACCTTTTTTTTTTCTGTTCCCATGCTTCCTTTTGATTTATTAATCTTCGTATCACGAAGTAACCATCTGATGCTTATCTATTCTTATTTTTGACAGAGGGAGTTTCTGCCGATGATGAGGAAACATGTAATCCAACTGCCAATAATCACTTATTTTGCAATTATTTTATACTATATACTACATTAATCGGTTATATTTATATTTCTGTTCACATGTTATTTGCTTATATAATCCGACAAACATCGTTTCAGAATGAAATGCTGGAGGACGAGAACCGGGGGCTCCAGTTCAAGCTGGTAATTCTTGTTTACGTGTTGAAGACTTTCTTCCTTATTTTATCTCTATGCCATATACACACTAAAGGAAACGATGATGCATACGACAAGTTTAGTAAAATTTGCACACCTAATTAATTCCAATTATTTACAGCGGCAAATGCATCTGGATCCAATGGATGAACATAACGTGTTAGAAAATGGCGACGTTTATCATCAACAACAGGGAGTTGGAGACTACGAATACCAAATGCCTTTTGCCTTCCGCGTGCAGCCCATGCAGCCTAATTTACAGGATCGTTTCTAGTTATGCTGTCTGCTGCTCCTAAAATTAAAAACCTCTGTGGCTTAATTTGATTTCTTCCAAGAAAATCTTAGTTAATGTTTGTAAGCTTAATTAGGTTGTCTGAAACTGTTTCACTTGTGTTTGCCTTCGTCCTAAGGTTTTTAGCCTGACTTATGAAATGGTATGTTAACATTTTACATATGTTTTATGTATTAATACAGTGACCATATTAATTAAGGTTGACACTAGAAAGCACACTAAGGTAGGGGATATTGAAACTGATCTCCGACAACAAGAATGCCTTTAAGATTTGACAGTAATAAACACAACAGTAACTGAAATTCCGATATCATAGCCGAAAATGAGCCCACCTGTTGCAGCGGCCATACAAGATAACAAAACAAACCCTGAAATTGTGCCACTATATTGTGAAGTTTCAATACTTATTGTGACTTGTGAGTCCTGCTGCCATGGCCTTCCTCTCAGAAAGAATGAAGATTTAATCAAGAGGGGGAAGAGGACATTCAGAAAAATCCTTAAACGCGACAATCCAAGATCCACGGCTCAATCGAGTTAGGTGAGAACTTGCAAGAGTTCAGAAGTCTTCCAAACTTAAAAGAACTTAGCTTGTATTGAATTGTCTTAGAGTCGTATTGATCTCCCTTTATGTGTGTACTGATGACTCGACACAAATCTAAGATAAACCCTTGTGCTCTTAGCAGCTTCTTATATTATGTGCACGATTACAGGAGATATAGAACAAATTACTTGCTAGTTGCCTAAAATAGAAGAAATGTGCTTATGATAAAACTAGAATCTCGTAGTGTGTGTTGCGCTGGATTGATTAGTGTATACGTTACGTTTTGGTTTGATGTTAAACTAGCATTTACTTTGGAAACTTTCTGTTTTCAACTTGTTTTTGGAAAACCTACTTATAAGTTATGACTTGTATATAAATTACGTTTCTATTCCTCAATACACGCTCTTTTTCCCAACGTTGTATCACCTCATAGGCTCCTTCCAATTTAGGGCCGAGCCTTTTTGAGAGAATAATGATATCTAATACCACAAGTGCTATAACACCTGTCTAGGTGGTACTATATATATGATATATTCCATCAAATATGAAATTAAGCGACATGTTTAATTATACTTCTCATTTAATGTCACATTAGTGTCACTGGTGATTCCTAAGAATGAGGTTACCAACTCGATACTCTCCTTTTCATCCTATTGTTGTATCTTCGTGCACCAGGAGGTCGAGACATTGCCTCCAGAGTTGTTTTCCTTGGCCCCAAGGTTTGGATCCTGAAGCTAGGGAGACTATGCATGTCGAAGGCTAGCAAGATCAAAGTTTAATTCGTTGCGGTCTTGAATGATGTTCAGTAGGTCCATAGGATGGTAGGCAGCTTGTCGGGTCAGTCACCTCAGGCATCACTTATCCTAGTTTCCAGGTCTTGGAAATTGGAAGAAGATCCTGTTGGTGTACTCGGCCAACCCATTGCTTCGGGGACGGGATACTGATGTCAAACAGCTCGACCCCGAACCTGCTACAGAATCCCTCCTTAGTTGAAACAATCCATGAAAGCTCAGAGTGATTCGTTAGGCGTTGCTGGAGTTGCACGAGTAAGGCTACCGTCTTCTTGATGGTTTGATGCTAGAGAAGGTGACCAACTTCGTGGCTGAAACGGAGAATGTGGCCTTTGAATTTGGCTCTAGGTGTTGCTTCCGGAGTTATTGACGGTGGTTGAGGGACAGACGGGACCAGATTTCTAGACAGTGAAATGTTGAATTATCTATTAATTTTCTATTAAAATAAAGATTTTGCAAGTAGAAAAGAGTTAATGTTCAAAACTACGAAACATTGGGATATCTCCCGAAATTCAGTTTCAACTTGTAAACTACTAAGCACACAAGAAAGTCGAATTTTTGTACCAAAGTATATACATAGATAAAACATCGTCCTATCAGCTATCACAGAGGATCATTCTACGCTTATGATGACCTTTTCCTGTCTCTCGAGTTCATACAGCATGAGAAGAGCAGCCGAATCAAGTGAAGCCTTCTTATCGGCTCTTGCCTCGCCTGTGAGCTCTATAACACCAAAGTCGGGTATAACCAATTTGATACGCGATTCAAACTTATTGAAGCCTTGCTTGTCACCGAATGTAAATGGAGTTCTACACGAGGTCATATCATTTAGGTATGAGGATTAGCATCAAATAATTATAGGAAAAATAATTCAAATTAAAAAAAGAAGGAAATGATTGACACAGTACTAACTTGGATTTTTCCTCGTATGTCTGGAAAGTAGGCAATGGCCACTGTAGCCTTTTGCAGAGGTCAAAAAGTGAGGACCGAGGTCCTCCTTTGTTCATGTTAATAGGTGGCATAACTGTCCAGAAAGAAAATAACTCGTTTAAGAAAAACAGATTACACGGTACCCTTGAGAGTGCTAGCAGTCTAGCACCAATTCCTGGAAAGAAGTATCAAGCATTTGGTTGGAACAAACTAATTGTCTACAATTCATTCATCATTTTATGCGTTTCTCTTTATACCTTTTGTGGTGTGTGGGGGTATGTATGTGTGGTCGTTGGGTATTTTTTTTTTTGTACATTCAATGTTGGCTATCATAAAAGGAATCCCCATTCGTGTTTTTCCTGATCCTTATCTTCAATAAGAATAGGCCTTCCTTCGAGAGATGGGAATTACAAGAAAGAAATAAATAAAGAAGAATGTACCATAAGAGCGGTTTTGGGGGGAATCATGTAGTGGATAAGCTTAAATACCAATGCAATGGAAAGAATGTGCGGCAATGATTCAACATATAGCCAGTGCATTTATATTGACATTGAAATAGCACCTTTTTTCTAATATATGAGAAGTTGCAAAAAACTTGCTCTTGAGATGTGTGAAATCAGAACACTTTAAGCACGTTTGGTAGGAATGATTGGATATTACTAGGTAGTATTAATGACGAAAAAGAAGTTAAAATCTTATTCGTTATATTCTCCAGTCGTGTCCAGTACTACGTATCAAACGTGCACGTTGAATTGCCAAGATTTGAGAAAAGAAAATACTAATGATGAATACCTGGGGTGACAAGCTTCAGCTTTTTCTGTGGCGGTTCAGAAGTTCGGTTGTGTGTCTGGCTGATGATACTGCAATCTAAGCCTCGGGAAGAATCGTCGACATCATTGGTCCCTTGCTTTTTCCGCTTGGAAGATACAATCCGTCTTGCCTGTCAGATAGTGAATGCATCAGAATCGGGTAAATGACGGGAAGTTTCAGGAGCTTTAATAATAGAATCTCTTAACTGAAAACTTATATCCTAGAGTAACTTAAAATGTGGCGTCCATCAACGATTGTATATGCAATTAATTACCATTTTGGTAAGCAAAAGTCTACCTGAAGCAGGATAACAATAGCACATTCATCACAATTATCTATACGCCTGGACAGCAGAATTTTCCCAAAAATTTATCTACAGTAGGTGTGGAAAAAAAATAAAAAAAAGGAAAATCTTCTAATAGGTAGTTAAGGATTCTCCTTCTCAAAGAGCAAAAAATGGAGAACGATCCAGTCCTCTTTTAATCAATCTTGAGTTTTCCCAGGAAGGCATTCAATAAAATTGCATCATGAGAAGTTTGTAAGCTGAGAAAATGGTAAAGGTATAAATGTTTTAACAGAATAAAAGTTAAGGTATCAAAAGGCAAACCTCTAATTGTTTCAACAGATCAACAGCTGCCATCCCCTTTGCAGCTTTCCTGTCATGTCCCGATCCATGCCCAAGCAACATCACATCTTTAAGTTGTAACTTAAGTTCTGCGTTCATTGTGTTTCCTTTCAGTGTATAGTTGACTTTAATAAAGTAGCCAAGAGAGTCACATAATTCAATCAATTCACGACATGGAGGAAGTTCAAGATTATCAGGAGTCACTATTGGAGACAATAGCGGCTTAAAGACTTTCCAGACTTTATTCATATCAAGGTTGGTGTCAATAAGCATTGCACCGGCGATGCTTTCCACCAAGTCCCCAAGTACCTGAAGCAGAGAAGGGAAAGATTCTGATTGTAGTAGAAAAAATAAGAATAAAAGAATAACGGTGGCAAAAGCATTTAATTTGAAAACATACTAAAATTCAAATTGGCTAGAAACTCGCCTTTGGAGCTTTTATAGCTTGAGTTAATATTGAGGTTTTGCTTAAATCTGATGCAGACTTTACATATTCTGATATTTGACTTCCAAGATTTGAAAATCCATATTGAAGGTGCAGGTAAAGATTATGTTTAACAGCAGCAATGGCAAAATTGTCATTACTAACGGAGGCAGCCCGCAAGTCTGTCAACTCCCCCGGATCTACATCTGGGTGACTTTGGTAAAGATGCCATGTAACAAGTATGTCCAACACTGAGTCGCCTAGAAACTCAAGCCTCTGTCAAATATTTGACGAGGACAAACAGGAAAACATTCAGAAAGTCATTAGTTGCAATATAGTGTGATGTATCAATTGCAATTAATTTACTAAAAGGGAGGGAAAAAAAAGAAGAATCTGTAAAAGGGATGAATGATTTTTTAGCTGAGTTGGATACTTGGATATATATATGTCAAAGAAAACTCATACAAATAATGTCCCTCTCTAACATCTTAAACTTGTACATGAAGTGGTTCAACATGTCAAGCATGAAGGGGTTCAACATGGTAACAGAACATGCCGAAGTCCCGAGTTCAAATCTCATGGACCATCCATTTATAAAATTGTGTAGATCTAGGACATTTGATGAAAAATAGAATCCATGGTTCGTGCATGGAGGGGGGTGTTCAATAAGCATAAGTCTTCCCTCTCTAACAGCTTAAACTTGTAGATGAGGTGGTTCAACGATAAACAAGAAGGTTGATATTATGCAATTTCAGTAATTCTACTGAAGTAACGATAAGAAGTCAGGGTAACATTAATGTACACAAGTTTTTAGTATTGAAGAATTTCAGCTCACACCTGGTAACAGTAGTCAACACCTTGCTCGTGTTCATGTGTTATGGCTTCTAGCAACAATCCCTTCACGGAGAATTCATAACCAATTTTCGACTCTAGTAATTTAATATCTTTAGCTTTTGGGGTATAAGAACGGAGTGATGCTGTTTTAATAACATCATCTACCCACGAAGGCTCAACTTCGGCACCTATGCTTAACCACTTCATCAACTGAATAGCAGCAGTCAAACCGCCACCTACATAGTATGCCCCAATGAGTGCTTCAACACAATCAGAGACGGTTTTTGAACCCATCCACCGATGTCCTTTATCACAACTCTTTCCAACGACTAGTTTTTCATCTTCAGTTACGAATTTATCATCCATGGGCACTTCCCTGGTATCCACCTCATGATCACACGGAGTACGCCATATAGAACGTTGTCCAGGAGCAGTCCATTGACGCGGATCAAATGCACAATCACGTATATATTCCTGTAACATATACAACAAATAAAAAGGCAAGTCAGCGGTGCTTATTAGGTAAATGATTATTGAGATTGTTGAGGTCGTAGAGTATTCAAATGGATCATCAAATAACCTAAAACTGAAAGAAGGAACACGAGTTTAAACTCAAACCAGAATTATCAAGTATTTATCCCAGATCCAAAACTATGAGCTCCAGTAAAGTAAAAAGGAGTTAGAACTTCAGAAAATTAAATTAAGATACAAAAGAGAGGTGGTGTGTCCTTATTCTAGAATTCTCAACCCGAAGTTAGACAGGATTCCAATGACAATCGTTAGTACACAACCTAACTTGATGTAAACTGGACCTACTCTTTAACTTAAATTGAACTTTTCTTACCACGTTTATCAATTCTGTCCCACTTCAAAAGCTTAGGAGGGAGGGAATTAGGCAGAACAGGACACCAGAGATTGCATTTTTAATATGATTTGACAAGTCATACACTACTAGATAATGTCAATGATTATTCTGACTTGCAAGGCCATTCACTAATCAAGGAATAGTTTCATGATGTAAGTTTTCATTTCTTTTTTTCATGCTAGTTATTAACCTTAAACCAGTAGATCTTCCACTGATGCATTGAAAAGGTCTGTGAAACAATCCTACGAAGGCGTGAACTTTCTCAAGGAGAGGAAAGATTGTGAAGCTAAATTTCAGGCAGTTCGAGAGAGGTAGGATGATGATCAACTGTGGTAAGGAAGTCATGCAAGGGCCTATCCAGAAACACTAACAAGGACACGCACGCACACAAGGCTAGATGAAAGAAAAGAAATGGCGGGAGATAGCTGTGGAGACCAGCTAGCGTGCAAGAAAGATAATAAATTAATACCTGCAAGGTGCGATTAGTTCCCAATTTATGTAGAGTTGCATTACAAACAGCCCTCGAACGACGACTAGATAATTGTCCTTCATGAAGCTTGGCATACTTAAGAAAGAGGTGGCAGCTAACAGTATACTTCAAAACTGAATCTCCAAGCAACTCCAAGCGCTCCATGGAAAAACTTTCATTGCATCTTAGAGTAGTGAGAGCTTCCAGAATCTGATCATGAAAGAAATAATTAAATTAAAGATTGAATTGTAAAGTTGATACTTTACACTATATGACAGCACAAACCAAGGAGCTTTTTATATGTAAGCCGCCAGCAGGGCCTGCAATTTCATCTCTAAGCTGGCTGGCCAACATCAGAGATTCCAGACGGTGCATTATTGAGGGTAGAAGGTAGAATGGCTTCAAGATGTCGGTCCTGATATCAGTGCCTACTAAAAGTTCTGGGGGCATGTGAGCATGTTGTTGTTCTATGCCCGTTGTCCATTTATTTTTAGATTTATTTCCACCTGTCAAAACAGAGAAATTTCAGATTACAACTAGCACAACATATTCGAATAGAAAAATCAATTTAACAATCACGTTCTGCTTCTTGAAAGAAATTTAATATATTTGGAACAAGTATAAATGTATAATTTAGAAAGAACTAATTATTTTGTAACTGGATATATTTTAAGTTGGAATTTAGAAGACCTTTTCCAGCACTTCCACAGCTTAAAAATAGTTTTGCTAACTACTCCGAAATAAAATCTCACTTAAATTAAGGAGTATATCACTACAAATCAGGTCAACACAATACAGCCAACTATGATAGCTAAGAGACCCATGGCATAAAATCTTACTTAGCCATGCCCATGGGCAAGAAAACTTGCCAATTGATTAAACCTTTAGATACTTCTTTTACAAGGAATATAAAAATATTTCAAATCTCATAAAGCAAAACACCAAAACAAAAAAGGAGAGAGTGACAAGAAAAAAAAGGATTCCTGAATATTATTGTTTTAGTTTATTTCTTCAGATTTCCCATCAAACAAGATGGGAAATGTTATGTGGAAAGCAGTAGTTTTGACTATTTTTGGGTAGTTTCGATAAAATGAAATTCAAGAATTTTTTAAGATAACGAATGGCTCCCTGGTGATATGGAGAGAGCAAAGTTTCTTAACTTCTTTATGGGCTTCTATATTCGAAGAGTTTAAGGACATAACTTTTATCCTTTGTTGTCGTTAGTTGAAAATATGTGACATGCTCTTGATTTTATTTTTGAACTTGTTTTTCTTATTTAAGAGGACTCTTAATTCTCACGAATTTACCTTCATCATGTGATTATTAATGTTACGTTTTCTTGTCAAAATAATAAATAGTTTCTTTCTAATGTTTTCGAAACAAGCCTTGCACCTAGGATGACACAAATTCAGGCATAAAGGAATGACCATGAGGCAACATGAATAAGACAGTAAAAGTGTTGTCACGACCCAACGAACCTTCCTTACTGAAATCCACAAGAAGATTGTGTGAGTTATGGCTTTGCTTCAGAAGCAACAGAGGCTGTTCAGGATGCTTTAGAACAATTCCATACCTGGCAAGAAGCAAAATCAATAACGCAAAGTTTGTAGACAAAAAAAAAAAAAAATTATTATGTAAGACCTACTTTTTGTGAAAATAATCAGCATACGACTGAAAATTGGTATCTTCTGCTTCAAATGGGCTTTCAGCAGATGTGTTATCAACGGCATGCACAATAGAATAAATTCTGCCAGTATGGATGGCCACAACCACCATTTCCTTGAGGCTGTCTACAGAAACAGATTTATTGGCCAACTCAATGACATGGCCATTGAATTTAGTTGTAACTGAATCATTCGAGTGAATTAGTGAATTTTCAGAGTCATCCTTCGGTTCAAGAATTTTTAGCCAAGCATTTTTCTTCAAAAATTCTACCACCGAAACACAAGATTCAATTCCAGTCCAACTGATATCCAGAAGTTCGCCGGTAGGTTTGTCTACTGAATCCAGGGGCAAAAGCAGATACATATTTAGAGGATCCCATAATGATTCCTCAGTGTCAAGTAAAAATCTTCTTTTCCCTGACAATTTGACATACAATTTTCCGAATAAACCATTGAAAAATAGCTCCTGAAAGCATTTTGCTTTTGCCATCTACAGAGAGAAAGGATATAATTAGTTACCAGAAAATGAAAAAGTAATGAAATTAAAGATTATTAGATATATATCAGACGCGTTAGATTGATCGAACAAGGATTAATACTAAACCTGTTGAGAATCCAGATATATTTCACCATGGAAAGAAACAAAACATCTAACAAACTTTTTGAGCAAGAAGAGTTCCACTTCGTTGTTTCCCACATCATCATCCAGCTTTGATTCGAGTAAGAGAAGAAAACTGGAATAATGCACTTCAGCAATGCTACAAGAGAATTCCATTTTGTATGCTTGAAAACAGGCACCATCATCTCTGTCTCCCCAGTTCCCAGACAACGTGCGCACACAGGTTGTCCCATGTAATTCCTTCCTCTTCGTTGTTCCTTGAAACATTGCAGCGAACAAAAACATTTTTAAGAACTCAAAAATTAGACACAAAGTGGAAAAGGTAAAGACGCGAGGTTGACCTCACATTTAAGTTTCAATTTGGAAGAGAACATATGGTAGGTAATATTTTAAATGGGATGAACCTTTTCACTGCCATTTAAGTTATAAAATGTGGAACCTAAGAAACATATAAGCAAACTTGGGGAATGGAATCGCAGTGACAACTTTAATTGGTCGTTGACAGATATATTAACAGGGAATTAAATCCCCAATGATTGAAGAATGTCAGGGAATTAATTCCCTGTTTTCTGTTACTATATGTCGATGTATTAATTGAAGAATTTAAGGGAATTAATCCATCATCACTGAAGAATAACATGGACTATATTCCCTCATGATTGACTTTTACTACTGAAATTTTGCAAGTCGGTTTAGACTTCAGAGACTTGATAACAAGTCATGCTCTTTGCATCGCAATGCCTAATGTGTTTGGCTTGAGCTTTTATATGTGGAGACAGAATAGAGCATCCATCATAAAGATGTTTACTGTCTTCTCTTGATTCAACTTTTTTCATCGAAAAGGTTCGTCAAACAACTGTTGAAGAAACCTTAGCCAATTTGATGCAAATCTTTTGATAATAAATTTTGTGAAAATGAATTTTAAAAAATGTATAATGATTGAGAAAAAAATTTCTCTATCAAACCAGGGCTAAAAGATTTATGAACACATTCTCTTCATGCATTTAGTAGCACCATATATCAAATTCTCAATAAAAATTCAAAGAAGATATTGTTGGAATGAAAAATCGCAATGCCTATTGTGACGGCTTGACATAATAAAGTCCGAGTAGAAACTGTTATTTTATGTCGAACCATAGTAATATTATTTGATTTGATTGAAACATTTATTTCTCTTGAAATTTCTTCAATGTTCATTTCTACACGTCTTTTTTTCGGGCATCTGCAACCATTATGTGTCATAGGGGTTACATCCCATTCCTGACAAGATTATCCATGTTCATCTTGGAAATCGTTAGCCTTCTTTAGGTGTTGAACATATACCAGACTTCACAGAGAGTTTAATATGCGAAATACCTGCACCAGAAGTTAACATGTTGCCTTTCAGGGTGGAATCATTCTGTGGAGGCTCTTCATTGACAGGAAGAAGATGATCGTTGAGAGCCCCCATCATGTGCAGCTTCTTACATGCATCCAAGCAAACAAGTTGTTTGGATAAATGCCGGCTTCTAGATTCAGGACCAGTGATAGTTTGAAAGGGTGCACCGGGAGGTAGAACCAGTTTACATCTATAAAAGCTCCCCTCCTGGAAGCACTCAAAAGTTGGCTTGAGAACAACGTTACTGTAGAGGAAAAGGAAATTTAAAACTAATATTGCTTGTAGAGAATGCTGCAGAGTCTAACAACATATGACTGTAAATTTCTGTATTTAAAGTAAAGGGGGAAGAAAATATCCATACTTTTCTCTAGGAAGTTTGTCACAATATCTATGTACAAGGCTGATGCTAGAATTTGCAGCTACTGATGCCCCAGTCACCTCCACAAGGTATGCAGGTACTTCCTTTGTAGCAGAAGCTTTTGTAAAAGAACCATCAGTGTCTCTTGTTATGGCTTTATCAGTCATAGAATACTCACTCTGAACGAGATTAAACATTGTATCTATTTGATTTTTGTTTCCCCTGAGACATATATGTGGAGTCAGTTGGATTTGTGAAATCACATTTGTAAAGCAGATACAAATCCCATCTTCAAAAGTAAAGTTTGTTTAAATACATTCTCAAAAGAAGGCTAAGCCCAGTAAAAAGAAGAGTGCATGCATGAAAATGCTGTCACCTCTCTAGCATCAAGATATATTGGGAATCATCTTGACAAGCTCGGCTCTTTGACCAAACAAACCTATGGACTGACTCTGGTAAATCAAAGCTTATTACAGAGGAACATTTGGGCACCTGAGTTCCCTCCTCAACATCGCCAGTAGCAAACAAAAGATTGACCTACATAGAACGCTCATCAATTAAGAAGCCAAACACGAAAATAGGAAACTTTTTCAGTGCAAGGTGAAGTATATGCTTACTTTCCCACATTGGAATGATTCCAAGGTTTCTCTTTGTACTTTCAGAGCAAGTTCATTAACTGAAGAGTTACTTCCAGTCAACCATGAAACTGTAAGATGGGACAAGTCTGTACTTTTCTTTAATAATCTTTCAATTACTTTAGCAGTAATTATTCTTTCAACGAATATGATGCACGAGACTTGTCTAGCTTTCCTGCAGCGAAAAGTGTGAGAGAAAAAGACAAAGGAAAAACGTAAACAAAGAAAGAACTATTGAGAAAGAAATTTAAAAATACAAGTACAACAAGTATATGAACAATATCATAGAAGTCTTATTACTCGAATGATCTAAAAATTTCGAGGAGCTCATGTAGCTTTGAAGATATTTGGCCCTTGGCAATAGCCTCCAAACCACCATAATGAACATCCAGAAGTTTCTCATGATCTGAGGAGACAAAAAAATGAGAATAATGGAGAATCCGAGATATAACTGATTTATGTGATCACAGTGAAAAAAACTTCATATAAAAATATATCAAATACTCAGAAGTTAACATGGAGAGAACTTCTTTTTTTTGATAACCGTGGATGTTCAGGCCAGCTTGCGCGCACCTCGACTAATTCCACGGGGTCCTGAAGTTTACGGCCAGGTACTCACCTCAGTGGCCTGAGAGGACTCGAACTGATAACTATTGAGGAGCAAACCCAAGGCCTGACCAATTGAACAACCCCTCAAGGTTACATGGAGAGAACTTCTATCAACCAATATATCCAACAACCATTTCCGGGAACAACTTAAGAATATACTGAAGAGGGTCATCACATAATTGCCACATCTCTTCTCCATCGGTTATTAAAGCACCATCACATACACTAATTGTACGGCATTGTCAAGACTCTGAGAAACCCAAAGTTTTTACTCTATATGGACTATTTTGTAAAGCTAACCAAATCATGGCACGTAACAAAACGTCAAGGACATGTCCCTTATTGTTGTATGCCCTGAATTTGTGGATGAGATGTTGAATAGTAAAAATAGGTAATACTGTTGATTGTCTTGGATGCAACCCATGGTGCCCTTAATAAAAAAGTTCCAAAGATTAACTGCAGCTAATCAAGCCAAAACATAAAAAGACAGCAGAGAGAAAATTGAGTTGACGTGGGAAAACTATAGCTTCCATTGATAAGGGATCAATAGAACAGATGGTTGCATGTTACACGACCTGAAGTGCACCATACATAGAGCCCCTAACTAAAGACGTTCTTAATAGACTAGATTCGCTACAACAGGCAGAGCAGGAAGTGATGCCTCTATGATCATCATCAGGACACATTTGACTATGTTAATTGGCAATCCCAAATGGATTATAGAGGAAAAAACATGTAACGAATGATAATAATAAGTACATTTAAAACTATGATTTATATTTCACATTCAAATACGATGACTTAAAAAAACACCTTCTGGCAATGATTCTTCAAATATTGACAACACTTCTTCAAGAAAATATACACAACGCAAAGCTCCTTCACGGTAAAATACACATTCTTTTTCAACATCTGGAGCATTCTCAAGACAGACTTTAACAGCCTGCAACATTGTAAGTTGACATGAATAGTAATAGCCAAAACCAAAATGAATACCTTAAAATTATACATTGCCAGACATCACATAGCCTTCCAAAGTTAATCCTTACTGAATATATGTACAGGCCTGGAAGTAAAAAATTTTGAACTTTTCGAGAAAGGAAAAGAAATTTGCTATCCATGTTAACTTTTCTAGAGTATTAGTCCACAAAGAACCTGTACACGCCAGAATTCTTTGAGGAACCTATAGAGATAAAGATAAAATGCTATAATTAACCATGTTAAAAAGTATTCAAGAATATCAAACCTGCTAATAAAATCAATTATTTCAAATGTAGGAAATAAGCAACTTGTGCATAACTATGCAAAGCTCCACAGAAGTCGCTAAATAGTGATGCTCACAAGTCATAACTATAGAATGAGAGGCACTAAATGAAAGCTGATTACTAGTTTTTAAACTTATAATTAATGTAAAACATACCTCGTGAGCACAAAGAAGCCCGAGATTTTCAAGGCAAAACAGAATCTTTGCATGATCACTTTCCAATCTTTTCCTCAGAATCTCACATTTATCGTCAGTATCTCTGTGCTGACTTTGTAGCGACTTTTGGAAGTCCAGCAAAACAGCATCAAACTGTTTAAAAAATGATGGAGACGATGTTGCTAAGAAACTTTTACACTAATGCAAGACGAAGTTCACAAGGGATTATAATGTTACAATTTTAAACAATTCAAACATACTACAATTTTTCAATCTGCAATATTGCAACAAAATGCACCACACTCAGACATAATTATGAGAGTTGCACAAGTAACAAGACTTTTTATCTTTTACCATAATGCAAGCATGTAAAACCATGCACATATGCTCTAAGGAACTTATCTCGGCTAACTTGGAATGGATGAACCTATCTGAACCCTCTTTTCACTTTTCCACAATTCTTTCACAAATCAAATGGGTACAACACCCCCCCCCCCCCCCCCCC